ATATATATATATATCTTGGGACAGACTCTTTTCTTCTTTCATGACTTACATTTAATGGTGGTGAATGGTTGGTGTGGCCTAATTGCACAGTGGGAGGGACAGGTTAAATAAAACGCACTGTACACATGACAAACATAAACCACAGTCCTCACAGAATATCATGTATTTCCTGTGTCACTATCAACAGTCTCAAATACATAATATAAACCTCCACTGAAAACTGGAAATGAGAGAACGTAGCATGCAGAGCATGACCAGGTGAAGAGTCGGTGTGGCTAAATTGCTCAAGCCTTTTTACACTACACATTGCATACATATGCCACAGTCCCTGTACTCACAAAATACTCCTTACTTACTGTACCTCAACTGAGAGTTTCAAAGACACACATAAATCCTAAAGGTCCTTAAAACAACAGAATTTGAGCAAACAGCTAACACTTTGTCTAAGCTTACCTAAGTAAAGACCATTACAATAGTTGTAAACTACACAGCAACCAGCAGCTGTTGAGACAATAAACACTTTGGTCAAGAATATGTGATATAAAGCAATAAGCACTCGTATTTACAACACAATGTATGCAGTGCAACGGTCAGCAGTATGTGTTATTAATGTGCCTTGTATTGGTTAGCAGGAGAAAGGGACGACGATTGTCTGTTTTCAATGGGAATTACATTAGCAATCAATGTTTGTACCTCCTTACATTGGTGATCATTATCTGTGCCACTTTATATTGGAGCAGTTGTAGTGTCAGGAACCAGGAGATGTGGGTGCCTGGTGCAAGTTATGTCCCTCTATTATCTAATGGGCAAGGAAACCAATGTCAAAAACGTAAAAAATTGAAGTACCGTCAAGTGTAGCAAGATGTAGCAAGTGTAGCAAGATCATTTACATAAGGGCTACATAAAAAAATAGCCCATAAAGACTATATTTTAACAAAATGGAGCCTGGCAATTCACTGTGCCCTTTTCCACACCAGATAAATCGGACAAATTAGTCATAATATAGAATGTCTGACCTGAAGTGACTACAAGCGGATGATGTAAATCATAGGAAGGAATGGCCCATGCACTCGGAGAGCTTCGCATATTTTAGAACCAGGCAATAGACTTGCAAATGAATGAATATTACGTATCTTAAGCAAAATTAATCAAAGCAGGACATGATTAAAGGAATGGCGGAGAACAGTTAGACTGAAATAAAATATCGTCATTAGGATATGAAAGAAGTGGTGTGATACTATTAATAAGCGAAAGAACATGTCCAAGAATTTTTCTTCATTTTTTTACTGAAAGTAATGACAATAAAAAGAGTGGAATTAAAGAAACACTTAAATCATCAGGGAAAATCAGGTTTTCAAGGAGCTATAATGGTCAATGCCTGTAAAATGGTTCCCTGATCAGGTCTTGGTTCTATCAGAATCCTCCTTGCAATTAAGCTGTGTTTTCAGGAGGTTTAAAACTTCCATTTCCTAAA